ACTTGATTTGTAGGTTAGAAACTTGGTCAACAAGTTAAGCACGTGCTTCACATATTGGTAGCTTGCAAAACAAGCTAATTATGTGGCACCCACATAGAAAACTTGCCTTACAAGTTAAGATATGTATTGTACATAGTCAACATGTTTTTAGAGGTCCTATAGAATGTCGCCACACAACTCCTAGGTAGATGTATATATAGAAGCAAGAGTGAAGTCTTCTTCACTCTTATCAACTCCTTTCTTGCTTTTAGTCTAGTTTCAAGGATCTCTGGTTTTCTTGTCTTTTGGCAATAGCCACTTTAATTTCTTTCTTAATATAAATATTGAGTTATTTCTATTTTTTCATCTTTCTTTGAAAAAAGGTCTCACTTGTTTATTTATTTTTAACAAGTTCTTGTCTTTGACATCATATGATTTTAAATCAAATCTATGAAATTAAATAGCAAAATGGGTGATTATTCCTTATGAACATTGAAACAAAATTTATCCTTTTGTAGATATAGCATAAGCATCTTAATTGTTCCAAGCTTGTTTTCTCATACAAATTTTATGATGCATGCAAAAACTTTTGTGCTTGTAAAAAAACAAAATTGATTGAATCACGAGAGCTCAATACACTACAATTACATTTGTTTGGATTTATGAGGCTAATTGTATAACAAAGCCCTAAATATCAAACTAAAATACTCTAACATATGACATATTATTCATACAAACAAAAAAAAAACCATTATGAATATCCTCTATATTTATATATATAAGATTTTAACAAGAAGGAAGCTAGAGGATAGACTCTCTATATCAAGTAGACTTTTCTAAAATCAATTTGTATTACTCTACTTCAAAGTTAGCAAAAATGTTGCAAAAACTTGCTTGTGAATACAAGTGCTCAAGCTTCACCTAACTTTGATCACCATAATGGTATCAATGAGCTCAAAACTCTTATAATTCTAGTACTCATTAACTTCTGCAAAATAAATCAAAATCCAAGTTTTTAGTTAAACTAAGTGCACAAATCTATTATGTTTGCAATTTAACACATAGTAGGATTTTTTTCAAGTGACAACAAGTGGAGAAATTTCCAATGGATTACAAAACTCCAAAATAAATACAACAAGTGAAGCCACATATAAACACTATGAAAGTGTATTAATCTAAAATAAAATAAGTTAAACTTGAACTCCTCCTTCAAGGACTCAACTTGAAAAATATGAGTCTTCTTAAGATTTTAAAGTACTTAAGTACAATAGGACTTGAATAAGAAGTTAAGGGCCTTAAAGACTCCTTCCAAGACTCCTTCCAAGACTCCTTTCAAGACCCCTTTTAAGACTTAAAACTTAAGTCTTACACTTATAGTAGCTCTATGTTCCACAATACACTTTGGCATAGATCACTACATTCTTGACAAAGTTAGTTTTGAATAAAAACCTAAGAAGAAAATAAAATTCAATATTGATATTTTTATTTTAGAATTGTATTTATACTTTACATACAAATATATTGTAAAACTTTACTTTTTTATATTGACATATAAATATATCAATAAATTTTATTTTTTTATTGTATTACAACCTATGATTTGTAATACATAAAGATTATTTTGTTGTACTAATTTTATTTGATAAAACAATAAAAATCTACTTGATATTTTACTATTTTAAAATAATAGTATTTTAATATTATCAATAATTAAATTATAATAATTATTTTAATGTAACATTGCATATGTAATTGTTATGTAATTGTTATATAATTGTTATATAATTTTTAGTATTAAGACCTTTATATTTTAATATATAAGTATATATATGCATTTTTCACTAAATATAGGTATGTACTTAAGTTTTATATCAAAATTTCTAAATAGACTCTAAAACCACAAAAAAGTAATTAATCTTGATTTATAATTTAGGTAGTTTTTATATCTATATAATATTAAAAAGTAAAGACTTTAGCCTCTTTAAAAGAATGAAATCTTAAAACTTATTTAAGATTTATACTTCTCATTTAAAAATTATATTTTAAAATTTTAATACTTATATTATTAAAATTAGAATCAAAATTTAAATTCAAATATTGAGAAGAATTTATTTTTAAAACAAAATCAAGATTTTAAGTTTAAATTTAAAATCTAAAATATTTTTAAATCTCATAGTATTTATGTTCTAATATTATAGTTTTCAAATACAAAATATGTATTAGTAGAATTAAAATTAAAATTTTATGATATAAAAAATTATTTTATTTCCAATTATATTAAAGATTGTACTAAATGTCAAACCAATAAATTAGCTATGTTTATATTATTTTTACAATTTTAGCTTTTTGTCATTTAAAATTATTATTTTTAGGCCAATTAAATATTTAATTAAAAAAAATTAAACACAAATTGAAAAAATCTTTTAGATAATCATTTTTATATTAGATTTTATGTTCTTATATAAAAGTAGAAATGTCTTTATCAACTATTAAAAGATGTTTTAAATAGATTTTTAGAAACAATTTAAATAAATAAAATAATAATAATAATAAATATAATAATAATAAATATAATAAAAATAAATTATTTAATATTTTTTATTAATATTTAATTTTTATTTTTTAAAAAATATCAAATTAGAATAATTAGAAAAAAAAAATTAGAAAAATGATAGATTAATATAATATAATGTATACATATATATGTATATATATTAAATATATTAAAGAATTCAACTTATTAAGGAAGAAGAAGAAGAAAAATCAAATATTATTTGTAAAAATTACTAAAAATAAAATACTATTAAGTTGTCTTACTATTAAAATTAATAACATATGATATAAGTTTTAGAATAAAACCAAATCTATTTCTATCAAAGGAGTCAATTACTCATTTAATTGTTGTTTTTTATTAATTCATGTTGATTATTTTTATTTAAATTTATTAATTCACATCTTTCTTATCTAACACCTACAATTGTTTAAATTGCACAAGAAATCCTTTCTTTGCTAATAAATATTTACTAAGTTCTATCTCAAACTATCTAAAAAATTGATACCTTAAAATTTGGTGATTTAAATACTAGTCATGAAATTTAATATGGAGACATAATATAACAAGAGAAGTATATATATAGAGAAAAATATGAATGTTAAATAGACCTAGGCTTTTACTAAATTGACCCACCTATCCTAACCATCATCAAATGACCTCTATATTCATTTCTCCACCATTAGATCCAATGAAAACCAACAACATTTATCATGATTATCATATTCTTCATCATTGTCGATTGCTGACGGTGTGTCCACGACGGTGTGTCCACGACGACGGTAGTAATGGTGAGCCGTCGCTGTGGAGCAGCGGCCCTACCTACAAGAAGAAGAAGAAGAGCGAGCAAGCGAGGGAGCAACCTTGGCCACCATAGCATCATCGGCGATGATGCGATACCTACCCAACCCACTTGAAGCTGTAAAAGCATCGCATCGCACCCCAAGGGTAGATCAGATGCAATGTCACTGCACTGCACTTGCAATGATTCTGCAGCGCAGATCGCCATCTATGTCACCGCCTTCGCACCTCTTGCTTGTTTTTGCCCTTGGTTTCTTGCTTTGCATCTCCTGCCTGCCACCACACCGGCCATCTTCAAGTGCAGGCTCGCAATAAGATGTCTCCATGTGGAGACACAGTAACTGCCAGCGGTGCTCCCCAGTAGCTGGACTTTCAATTGAAGGAAGCATTCCTCCTTTTTTTTCACCACCGATTGCTGACCCACATCGTTTTATTTTTTATTTTTTATCCTGTCGCTGGCATCCACAAAGCCGTTACCTTCCCCTGGAAAGCTCTTGGCACTTCGCTCATCAGTTGCTTTGAATGCGAAGCTGTTACCTGCCGATTGAACTTGAGGAAGTGGAAAAACAGTTTGAGAACATGGTTTCTAGTGTTGCGATCGATCAAACTGACGCGCTTTGCAGGGCTGATCATTGTTGTCAGTAACATAGCCTCGAGAGCAATGTGCTGCCACTGATGCTGAGCCGACTACGCGATTCCGGACATATGTCTGACATATGTCGCCTGGCTATCGTATTCTCTTGCTGCATCGAAGGAGAAAATAAAACATCGATGCCTAAACATGTCGCCCTTTCTTACTCGCTGCTTACTAGACAAAGACGAAACGTATTCATCAATGATATGGTGATCCATCATGTCCTTCCATGTTGCCTATACAGAATGAGACATGTAACTCCAAAAGTTTCATGTGGATGACGTCCTTCATCATTTAGTGCTGGTCTACAATAATATGAGCTGCTCACGACTAAGTACACACTGCATTCATCATCGTATATATCTTTGGCTTTGCGGCACTCTTTTTTACAGTGATTCGAAGGTCCATTAGAATGATTTAATGCAACTTGTGTCGAGGAAAGCACAAACCTAGTGTCCTACACTACAGCGCCGTGTATACCAGATTTCTGTACCTTCTCTGCAGCCCCAATAATGGACGAGTCTCCCTGGTATAACTGCACAACTAAATGCCGAAAGTGGATAGAGTAGGTAGCGTATGTAGATACTGTAGAGTGAAAAGAAATTGGTGAGCATATGTTGACAGCGTATTCATCCCATTGATCTTTGTGTTATGCTCAGAAAACCAATCCGTACAGCGCAATACATAAACTTTTATGGTGCAGGAAAAACAATCTTAACTGCCGCAAGCAATCGGCACTTGTGGTTCCTTGCAACGAAAGAGATAAGTGAACGGCATGAGTGCAACAAGGCATCGTTAATCGCTGATAACTTCTCAGATCTATCTCAGAAACTGAAAACTTAGTGTACAGTTCATGAAAATTCAGGTGGTGTTTCTTAACCAGCCAGTGTTTGTTTTTGGTACTGGGCAGGAGCAGGACTACCATTGGATCAACTCAATGCTTGTCGTGTTGTGAGTCAATCATTTGACCCACTGAAGAGATGCAACACCGAATCTAAGGTTCGAATCTAATCATGGCGTGGGAATAAAGTAGAGCAAAGTTCCATTATGATTAATTTGGCCCACAACACTGAAGCGGCCCTCTCTCATGAATTGATCGGCACTGAGTCTCGATAAGGCTACATAGCTCTGCTCATCTTCACATCCTCTGCTGCAGCTACCGTTATACAGCATGCAGAGCCTGCTACTCTAGGTAAGATTCTTTCGCCCAGCACCTCGTCGCTGTTTTCTGAACTGCTTGTTGTGGTGGCTTGTCCACTGGTTTGTGAATTTCTAGGAGAGCTGCGGATCTGTCTCTGGATTGATCACTCTTTTGGAATAGAACAGTAGATCACTCGAAGAAATAGATGTAATGCCTTCCTAATGACGCTACTCATCGCAGTTCCTGCTCTTTGAATCCCGTACTAGATCGCTCTCCTGCTCTTAATCTTCGATCAGCTCCTTGATTTCCCTCGATGCTTATATAGAGGTTAAGTGTGTTGCATTTCTCTTCTTGTTAAGAGTAGCTGGCCGCTAGGTGAGTCACTGACTCTCTTGCTATAGCTTCTTACGTTTGATGCGTTGAAATAGCCAAATGCAGCTCAAAAAGACCAGCCATCCAACTTGACCTCACCTTATTAGCTGATGTTGCCAAAAACCAGAGGCGGTCAAGCTGCTAGAGCGAACCGTAAAGTTGCGGTCTGACGTAGAAGTGTTCCGCTAGATGTTTATTCTCCCTTCCCGATCAATCGTGCGGGCCCTGTCTGCTCGAAGCTGCGAAAGTTGAGACATTACCAGCCCATCTTCGGAGCCTCGTGTAATACAGATACCATCATCGAACGTTTTTCGGTTCGTCTAAGGATTTCATACATGTATCAGATAGCGTGCTCAGTTGATAATGCAGAAGGGAACAGCCGAAGCTCAAAATTAGAATGGTAACAGAGTTTACATTGTAACGCCATATAAATAGGCCACCGTCTTCGCCTCTGAGTAGCATTTTGAGGCCAACAGGTGATGAGCTTTCTGTCATTAAACACGAAAAGCCAAGTTGGTAAGAAAGCATCTGCTTGCTCAGAAATTACCTTAGTCAGGATAAAAGGAGTTACCCAATGGATCATCTGCAAGGTAAAGACATTTAAAACATCTTCCGAAGAATGTCCTGCAGTCAATGTGTCAGTACATCTGACCTACTTAGCACCGTCAGCTCGTTGGGGCTATCATAGTTACGAATTAAGTTGCAGATCTGCAAGAGAGAATCGGTATTGCGCGCGTAGGAGATTCAAGCCATTAACTCGTCTGTTGTAAACTTCCTGACACTGTATGTTAAACTTAAAAGTTCTGACGCTTCTGTTTTATTCTATGGAGTTTCACACGATTTTCTAAGTATGAATGACAGTAGGTACTGAAGAATACTCTAGAACAGCAATGACGAACGACGGTTCCGATCTTATAACAACCGAATTGCTTAGTGCTCGAGCTAGCTTCATTCATTCTGACTTTAGGGTTGTGGAAATACATCCAGGAACTACGAGGGTGGTTCACGAGTCAAGCTTAAATGTGATTGCATATGTTTCAGTGCCTGTTGGTGGTGTTGCACATCTGTAAGAGATCTTATGTGAAAACGAAGACGAGTTCGCTACAATCCCAGCTGGCTGAGCTTGTAAGATCCTATCACCGTCGACCTTTCGTACGTGAAAATATCAAGTAATCAATATCAAGGAAACTGCATTCTGCATATGTTTCAGTTGATTACCTTGAAACTGCATTCTGCATTAAAGCCAGTTTTGCTTGAGTCACCATCTTGTTTCTATCTCTATCTTGTTACCTATCTCACTCTCCATGTCTATTTTGCATCGAAAATGACTTTAAAAACGAAATAAGAAAAATTCCTTCAAATGAATGGGCTTATGTACAAAAGAAACCAAGGCGTTGGCGTACTCTTCCATTTTGTTTCATACCAGTTTGTAATTGTTAAATACTGTTCATATCAGCTTCGGCACCTCGTAACCAAATTTCTTGACGTAATAGCCTCGAGGAATCAGTTACTCACTGAACTAACACGATTATGATGTTGAATGATCTACAGCTGCATCATTAGAAAAGGCCTACCTATGTTCTTGAGCAACAACCACTAGTGCAGAGGCTAAGACAGGCTCACTCCTATTTACAAGTGGATGAAAGCAATGGCAGATAGTCGCTGCGCATGGATGATTTTGGCCTCGACTCTTGTATGTGGCCTTCTCTTTCCGGCAGTGCTAGCAAAAGATTCACCATCGCTAGCAGCAGCTATTGCGGCAGCGCCAGCACCGCCTGTGGGAGCCCCTGCACCGGCACCCGTGGCCCCACCTCCGAGGCCTCTCACTCTTCACGAGAAGGTTGTCGCCGCGCTACGAGCGGCGGGTCACTATGGCGCCATCTCTGGCCTCCTTGACAGCGTCGGCGCAACTAGCAACGTCATCAGAGAGGGAGTTACACTGTTTGCTCCAGACGATGGGGCTTTCAGCGGCCTGAACATGAATTCCTCTAGCCTCTTGATGACCACGTTGGATTACCACGTCGCGACATCGGTATACAACTTCAACCAGCTGTCGAACCTGCCTCTGAATTCCACCATCAAAACTTCCGCACCTAATGTGGAGATTTTCGTCACCAGTACAGGCACCGATGGATTGAGACTAGACAACGTCGCCATTTCAGACCCCGATCTCTACGCTGATGGTCAGATGGCTGTTCAAGGGATAAGCTCCGTAATGGACACAGCAAAATACAACAAGGGTGTGGTGCCACCTGAAGCAGCACCTGCTCCTGTAGCGGGAGATCCTGCACCAGCCCCTGGACTCATCACCACACCAACGACACCCAAGACAGCCACCCCCGCTGGTACAGGAAATGATGCTGCGCAAGCTACGACCTGCGTTGTGGCCACAATGTTGCTCGCTGGCGCAGTCTCGTTTCTAATAGATCTCTTTCAAAGGATCTGGTCGGGTGCGTGAATACT